CATCCATCCATCCATCCATCCATCCATCCATTATCCGAACACAACTCCAACTGATGGGTTTCCTGTGTCGACTACAAGGCGTGGTTACCCAACAACATCACCCCCATTTAATACAAGTTAAGAAATTAAAAACAACTTGACTCAAAGAAAAAAACAGCAGTGATTCGTGGCTGCTTAGCACATTTCCACCCTCCTTGATATGATTTCGGGGCCTGGCCTGGCGTCACAATGTCGGAACCTCTCCAGACTTAGCTTTCATGTGTGTGTGTGTCATAGATAAGAGAGTAATGCTATATGGCGCCGTGGAGGGATTAGAATTTTATGCATGCCTCGCCTGCCCAATTACTCAGTCTTCGTGTTTTACGTAATTTTGATTCCAAAAAATTCCATTGGTAATAATAATTCGGGCCTGGAGTGTGTGAAACTTTTAGAAAATTTTGAGAATCGTTTGTGTTTTAGTTAACTGTCGACAACAGGACGATCTTTGTTTGTAGCGGGATCTCAATTCCTTTAGAAGATGTCGCTCTTACACAGATAACATCGGCCCGAACTCACCCCAGGCTTGCCATGAACTATTTATACTGAAGCCTTCTCTTTACTCACACACATGCTGCGTTAACTCCACTTCTGTGTCCTGGTTTTTCTTTTGAAAAAAGTGAGAAAAAAAAACTACCTATGTGCTCTAGATATAACGATTGAATTTTTCGATTCCCCTGCTAAGTTCTTGCCTCAGTCTTACTTGGAAAAAAATCGCGTACGATAAACTTTATTAAATGTTGAATGTTTCGTGGGTTATCTTGTCAGTTCGTAAACTAATTTCACTATTTGATATAAAGTAAACACAACCTCGTACGACTTTGTAATTCTTGGTTTACAGAAAACTTATCGGAATTACCTATCGGGACCCTGTCAAATTGATGACTGAATTCCCGCGAGATTAGATATATTTAATCAACTTTTCTTCCAAAAACAACCGCTCCAACCTGAACTTCAAAATTAACAAATTCATAAATCAAAATTGAAAAAAACGACTGTTTATTTTAGATCTTTGCTATGAGATAGATGTACACTTTTTACATTACATAGTTTTAAAGTACTTGTTTATGAATATAGTTTTGCGCTGCAAGACGTTGAACATTGTTGCAGTCGCACGCGGTTGATAGGGATTTTCGAGGGTTTTTCTCTGGGTTCTCCAGTTTTCCTCCCTCCGCAAACCAAACACGCTAAATTAGATCTGCGAGTTAGCCATGCCTTGACTTAGATAAGCCCAGAGGCTTTTTCAGGGTTTGATCTGTGAGTTAGCCGTGCCGAGACCGTTTGATCAGCCTAGAGGTTGTTTCAGGGTTTTGTTAAAGTTGAAGGTAAAAGTAGCCAGTTGAAGAAACGAAAAACTACTACACGTTTCTTAAGTCATTTTAAAAGGTTTACCCAGTCTTTCATTCTTTCAGCCCTTTATTTCCTACGTATAAAAAATTTTTCGTGAAGATTGAAGATTGAAATGGAACGAAATTTCGACACGTTCTTCGATGCGAAGWAAAGTGTCTTCAGGAAATTGCGTTCCGGCACGCCCAATGACGCTTAAATTAATAACCTTTTGAAATCCGTAAGCACGTTACTTAAATGTTTTTTGATGGAAAAGCCGCTCGATTTTAAGCATTCCAGCTTTTTTATTTCCTCTGGGTTACGTTAGAATTATCAATCTGTTTTGCTTCGATAAAGRGCGCAAGTTATTACCGATATGTGATTTCAAATACGTCTGTAGTGACCCGGTATTTAGATTAAAGCACGCGCAATTTCCGAAAGCCTGGTGCTCGATATCGCTTATTTTTCCATCGCAAAATATCCTTTAATCTTTCTCGAAAGCGATCGTTAAATCGGCAATAGATTGCGACACTTCATGAAARCATTATCATTTTGTCTTGGTCATTAAAAAAGACGTTAAACCCGCAGCGCCTGAGAAGAAGTTAATCGACAGACTATTTCCTTCGAGATTACCTGACCTACTTGACGGAACGAGATTTGACTCGGCTCCACATCCAAGACGAGTTAAACGACAGACAATTAAATATATTTAAGCTCGCTAAAAAACTCCATTCCTTTTTCTACACAAAGCTAATCCCCCGAATCTAAATGTACATTAAGTGTCTTCAACGATAGCAAACGCTGTACAAGACTTCATTTTTCTCCCGACGAGATCGTCGGTTGTGCGACTTTAACGAAGGCCTTATCTCTGAAGTGTGTCTTAACAAATAGTTGCTAATGATTACAGTTGGATATTGAGTCGCTCTTCGTTATCTAGTTCTGGATAAAAATGTTTCGTAGTGATTTGCCATTTTCGGATGTGATGTTCACCTTTTCGTTTCTTTTTCTTTCCTAGTCTTTCAAGCTCCTGGTCACGCTTGAACTTCGTTCTCCGATTCTGAAACCACACTTTCACTTGCGCCTCGGACAAGTCGAGGTCTTTGGCTACTTTTTGTCGTTCTTCTCCAACGATGTAGTGATTCGCCAGGAATCTTTTTTCGAGTTTCTTGAGCTGATCTGCGGAGAAGGCAGTTCGTGCTCTTTTACGTTTCTGAGGGTATGCACCACCGTCGTCTTGGAAGTCACCCATCTCGCCTCCATATGTGGCGTACTGATAAGGATCGCCTGGTAAAAACACAAGGTTATAAGAACTAAACAATGTGTTTCGGAACACAAGACAAAAATTACTAAAACATTTATCGAATATTAAATATGTTCTACGCATGTAAATCAGTAAGCCAAGTCAAGATTAGATCTGCGCTACATGTTACACCAGGATAAACTGCTAGAATGTGGTATTACTTTTATAAGAATTCGCCTGAGGTTTTCGAGTTTGGAATCAACTAAATTATTATTTTTTCATTTTCGCATTAATATAGCTTTTCCTGCGGTCCCTACTTTTTGAAAATCATATTGAAAGCATACAATTATTTTCTCTCTCTCTCTCTCTTTTTTCGTTACGAGGTTTTCGATTTTTATGATGGTACATCTATAGTATATTTTGGAAATCGCAATCTTTGTTATCAGGACATTTTCAACGTTGGTTATAATATAGTTTTTCCTGCGGTCCCTACTTTTTGAAAATCATATTGAAARCATACAATTATTTTCTCTCTCTCTCTCTCTTTTTTCGTTACGAGGTTTTCGATTTTTATGATGGTACATCTATAGTATATTTTGGAAATCGCAATCTTTGTTATCAGGACATTTTCAACGTTAGTAAGTTATCAATTGACGAGTTGGCCGTGGTCTTACTTTCGCTGATTATCTCGCAACTTTACACCTCTTGAACGCTTCATAAGTCATTTCTTTAGACTTGTAAATTAGCGTAATTCGACCCTACAACTGTGGTAAGAAAATGGTTTAAAGTGCCTTCGTTTTTTTAGTGATATGGTGTCGAGAGATTCTTGGCCATACACTTAGGCCCTGCCACACTGCCTCTGCTGACACACGAAACGTTCAAATCCCTTGAGCAAATATTATTTCAAGTCGTTTAGCTTTTGACGAGAAAAAATAATAAAAACAAAGAAAGGACACGAGCTAACGATAAGCAGATTGAGGGCATATTGACGTTTTGTAGAGGCCATTTTTCACCGGTAAATCTAGAGAAAGTACTTGTAGTTTTGCGGGTTTTTTCGTGGGAGTTTGGAGTCAGAATGCTGAAGTGTATTCATGCTTTGGACATGACGTACTTGACGATAATGAGATTTAGTTTGTATCTTGTAGTTAAAGCAGGTTACTTGCTTTAGAAATTCATTCCTTCAAGACCGCAGATATTGCTCTAAATTCCAAAACAAAACGTAATCTACGTGGATTATTTTCGACTAAAAACCTCTAGACAGGACACTTCAAAAATAATAAGTCGAGCCTTGTTTTGAAAGCTGAAAAAAGAAAGATTTTAGCCCAAATTTCGAAGAAACGGCTTCACCTTGAGTACACTGATGACTGCTAGTAGGAGAGATTGAAATCTAGGGAACACATGTTGGAAATCGTTGCTATGTTTTTGTTTTCCGGCATGGTCCAGCCCGATCAAGTGCCAGTAATTATGTTCTTGTATCTATGAGTTTCTTAACTTCTCATTATGGCTTTTATAAATAAATGAATCAATCAATCAAAACAAATATCCTCACAAGACCTCATGAATTGGTCTTCTCTGATTAGAGAGATTTGCGCGTTCATCTATAGGACATTAGTTTACGTGTTAGGGTCTCCTATCTCGACTGTACCCCGTAAGTCATAATTTACTTTAGATGTTATCCAAGTGTTGGGCTGTTGCCCCTGGGTATTTTTACTCGATTAACTCGACGCAGATGAATCGATGGCAAGAAATTTTTCGCGATAACAATTCTAAAATTTTCCCAGAAAAAAATCTGGTAAAAATGGACATTAAAAATGCGCGCTTGAGAAGTGTGAAAATTGACTCAAATTAGCAACAATAACTAAACAATGCTTCACACTTGGCTAACAGTTTGGAAGTGTGGATTTGGAAAAGGTTCTAAACGTAACCAGACGTTCTCTTTTCCCTTGATCTCGCCATCTGATCGATGACTGCTGAAGTGTTAGTAAATTACGCGATAGAAGAAGTCTTTAGTAAGATATACGAGTCGTTCAGGGATCAGATCGATTCGTTACCTGGATGGGGATGCGCTAGGTACGGCACGTTTTGTCGAGGACCCCAAGGAGAGGACCAGCTAGATTGAAGACCTTGGCTTCCGCGGTGATCCGTAATAAATCCCGGAAAATTCACTTCATTCTGGTACATCATTTCTTGAAGAACACGGCCCGAGTGGTAGTTGTTTTGCGGGTTGGGTGAGCAGTACTGCGGACGTGACGGGGTGCTGCTTGTCATGCAGCTTTGGTCATCATAACAGGACACTAGTGGAGGGAGACTTAAACCAGGTCCTTGCATCTGTAACATGACGATAGGAAAGCCAAGAAAGCACGTTGGAATACACTGAGCGCTCTCTTAGGTTGACGCTTCAGTACTGAGGACTACTTGTCTTGTGCTGCACCGCTATGACACGGGTCGAAATTTGAAGGTCTAAGCCTTTAAGATGTGTAAATCTGTACACTCGGGTAGAGATAGACAGATAAATTGAAAATCTCTGTAAGTAATTAGCTCATGTCAATGGTTTGGGTGAGATTTCCAAGGCGTTCGGTGCAGGTAAGCAACTTATTGGTCGACAGACACAGAATGTTGAGGTGAGTGTCATCATTGACCCCTGATGAAGGAAGAATCAAATGCCGAAGTCAAGATGTCCTAGTTGCCTTGCGTGTAAAGGTAATTACATGATCGCATTTCGTCTAGATGAGCTCGAGGAATCTGAAAGACTTGTGGTAATTAAAGCATAGAGATAAGATAAGAAAATCACCATTGTTTTTGTTCCCAGGCCCAGCTTTCACTACCCGTTGAAGCCTTGCTCGAAACGCGACGCCTCGACGACCACTTAGCTAAACTATCCGAAACAAAAGAGCCCTCTGGTATTTCCTATCGATAAGTTGTCGTGGTAGTTTCAATGCAAGGAGTTAAATGATGCTAAATGTCTGACACACGACAAGACAAGACCACCGTCAAAGAATACGAGAGGAATGGGCTGGCGGAACAAGCGTTAACAGTCATACGCCAGAACCCTTCAAGATGCCTTCATTTCTGCACCGTTACAGCTACAGCCCTCGAATACTAAATATCTATATGATCCACGAGAGGTCAACGAGCCTTTTTCTTAGTTTGATGTTTTGGAAATAAACTTCGTTAAGGGATTTCTACAAAACGTGATCGAAGCGGTAATGGGACTACTAGATTGTTTATCCTGAGCCATAAACGTCTCTATAAAATGATCTTTATCAGGTCATTAGGCTTTGAAGAATGAAGATCGCTTACACATACCCTCCCTTAGAAGATCCTTCGCCAAAGCGGACAAGCTGTTATGAGAGGAGTGAAAAGCAGGAAATAGCCCGATAAGGCTTGCGATAGCACTGAGATAACCTCTCGAACCTATCCAATAAAGCAGTCTTTTTATAGCGACCATCGCTCCACCAAATAGATTTCGATGGATTTGGATTTGAAATGGGTAAACCGACCTTAACTGCTAATTCCATAATACCTGGCACAGCAATGTGAGATAAATATGATCTCGACTGTACTATCTCAGATCAGTGATTGTCACTCAGAGACGCAGCTACTGTGCCTGCAAGCCCTCCCGGACGCCATATTTTCACTCCAACACGCTATCGTGAACTTATGAAGGCATCATCATGATTCATTTAAGTCTAACTTGCCCAAATCCTAGTTAATGAAGCTATATACTCTACTAAATACTAGTATCGACCCTCAAAAAAAGAGAGCGATTTGTAAACGAAATAAGAGGTCCTTGAACTCTCCTGGATAAATAAGCCCTAGCCTTTTTTATGAATGATTTCTGTGTTTCCTCGTCTTTAATAGGAAAGAGTCTATCCCGTTTTTATGAGTTCAAAGCTCTTGCAAGATTGGAATAAAAAATTGATTGATCAAAAGATTTTTATTGTTCGTTTGAAGTCGCATTTGGTTTCCGAGAAAAACCGTTCCTTGACTTATTATTATCTCGTGTTTGTATTCTCCAAGTATAACGTCGAATAAACGGCATCGTATCTCTGTTTGTTTGTTATACTTTCGTTGATCGAGTTGTGGCTGCTATTTATAAAGGAATTAAAGAGCAATTAAGTGTTTCATTGTTGTTCTTCAGGATATGTTTATACTACTTTATTAGTTTATGGTTTTTGGCTATGTTATATATACTCTTCGCGTCTTGACGAGTAGTATAAATAAGTTATTATTAGGGCTCATTTACCGAGGATAATGGTCGTCACTTTGTGTCGTCTTGTTCGCTATAAATTTTTAATTGAGATACAAAAGGTAAACTACCTAAATTTTATGACAATGGACTCTTCTCAAATTACCTTGGATACGGGGCGAGAGTGCTTAACTTGGCCCGTGAAAGAACAGTCAACGTAATACACAGTAGTAGACGCTAATTCCATTGTTTTCTTTTGTTTTACGTTGATTCTTGGTCACTAATTATACGACTTCGTTTCACAGGAAAAATAAAATCACTCTACTACTCTAGTGATTTGTGACATGGAAATACAAAAAAATGGCACAAATTCTACCGAGAAAGGCCTGATTTCTTTTGTGTTTTTACGTAATAAATTGAGATTGATGGAGTTAATGCTTTGTGTTGCTTGGCTCCTTCATCCCCGATCAGACTAGACCCATCGCAAGCCGACCGAAAATTACCCTACAGAAATTTTTCATGTGAAATATTTGGAGGTGAACTTAACAATAAGCCTTTTTCTTATCGGTAAAGTTACCACATAGTAGGCTTTCCACCCAGCGACGTTTGTTGAAGACACGTGGTATAGACTTTTCAACCAATCATCGCATTTGATACTAAAGGTTGCCATGTCCTTCCCTTTAGTATTACTTTTTTCTTTCTTGTGTTTTCTGAAGTTATACCAGCCCTAATAAAGGACTGAAATAAAACTTGTCTCCCCTGTGGTCAATCTTCGCTTTTAGGTTTCGCTTTTGAGCTCTCCTTGTGAACCGAAAACAAAAGTTCCCCCTAGTTCTTCATCAAAACCACATTTATTACGAAACACGGAAATGAAAGTCCGAAACTAGTTTTCTCTGGCAGCTTTTCGCTTTTAAATTTCGCTTTTGGGTTCTCTGTGTTAAAACAACCTTTTTTCAACAAAACTATATTTTGATACTACGAAACACTCGTACACAAAACTCTACGAAACACTCACAACAAAAATGCGCGGTTTGACTAGAATCCTAGTACTAATTCATAGGGTAATTCAATACTGTACAATACCCTGGGCTCAAGAGGTTCTATTTCGCTTCTTGTAACGAACGACCGCCGCAAAACGCCGGAGCGAGAGAAAAAACAATATATGGGGATAAAGATATTCGGCCGAGAACAAAGTACAAGAGGGTCACTAATAATTTTTGCGTCAGTATATTTTCGAAACACTTATTTTTCGCTTCACTTCATTTCAGATAGCCTACTGTTCTATATCGATTTTTATTTACTTTAGGTAAAGTATCTACCCATCTAAGACGAATAACATGTCATTTCCTTGAATATGGTCCCTTTCTTTAATGGGGAAACTCGAGTAGCAAACAGAACATTCAGTTCTTTGAGTATGACTCCTTTCCGTATCTTGGGACACTCACGGAACAAACGATTCGTGACGTTATTTCATTTCTACATCCATATAATGCATTAATACGCGTTGTAGAGTTGCTTCCTCCAACCGGTTTACTCAATAAGATAAATAAAGTGTACGACTTTATCTCGAATTTTAGCAATAAATAACTTGTAGATGATAATTAGCGAGTTTCCGAAACAGAGTTGAGAAATCCAAACGAAATAATAACGTGGAGGTGACGGTGCTTTGACTACAACACACTCCACGATAAATATACCGATTGCTTGGGAATAAATTTATACAGAAGTTTTTATTCTCATGAGAATAAACATGGCCGCTGTCTGATTTAAAAAGGTCCATTCAATTTCTCAGTTGCAAAATTTATTTCCCCCACACTCCCTGCCTAGTATCCTTTGCAGGCTAACACATATGTTCTCTGTTGGTATCCCTGGGTTAATATTTTGTGTTAAATTGTATTAAATTGTGTTGAATTTTTGTTAAAAATTGTTAAGTTTTGTGTCCTCGCCACAGGAAGCCCAAGGAGCAAAAAGAGCCAAGGAGATGCGGAGGAGGCTACGCCAAACTTATATAGAATTGTCTTATCTGGGTTTCCTGTGTATTCAGTTGTGAATGACAAGATGGAGGATATCAAAGTTCTTGCAGCGCTTTCTTTGGCCTGTTTGCTGTCTTTTGCTTCTTGTTTGCCTGAATATTGTGGCAGAGATGCTGATAGCGACCACGAGCCCAATGTAGTGCCAAAAGTAGCAGGGTTTGACTTGAAGCAAGTCAGTGTCGTCATCAGGTGAGTTTGTGGAGAAAAATTCTCTTACAGAAATATTCTTGAGACCTCGTGGTCATAAAATAAAGGTTTTAATCACATCTATAGATTAAAACTCGTGGTATACTTTAAACATAACGATAAGAGCTTGATTTATTTAGTTTGCATATTAAGTTTGCGGAAATTCAAAATCTTTTATTTTTACCTATTGACTCGAGACACGAGATTAAATCTTAAAAACGTGCAATTTTTCACAACATTTTAAAGTTTTTATTTTTACTATCTACGAAGCAATTTCTGATAGAATAAAAGAACTGGAGCAAATAAGCAAATAGCTTTATAAGAAACTAATAAAGGACAGACCATTAGACAATTGAGGGGGAGTTTGCGTAAAAATATCGCGTAAGCACTTGACCTACGGAAAAAATATCGAAACCTCTTTCAGAAAAGAAATATCGAGCAGACACACACAAAATACTTGCATCGGTTGCTACAAAAAATTAATATTATGCAACAAATTGCTGCAACCTCCATTGGTCCATCTCTAAGTTAACTTTTATTGCAACACACTTAAATGTAAACTGAAATTCCTTTACTTTCGTGACCCATTCGTTTTTAGTTTTAGTTTCTAGAAATTTAAGCTTACTTTCAGGTTGTTTCCTCCAGAAGAAAGTTTCATGTAGTAAAATTTTCTTTTCTAAAAATATTCTTACCCTATTAAATACAAAAGGACCACACCCACCCCTCCAAGGGATATAAGTTAGAGTTAATTACCGAGAACGGAGGCAATAAGCCATATACATCCCGAGGGCTGCAGGCCCGAGGCATGCATAGGCTTATTGCCGACGTTCGAGGTAATTAAGTATTTTATTTATCAATTGAGAAGGTTTTCTATCAAATGTTGCTCATTATAAATGCGAACGGTCTATATATAGTTATTAACCAGGTTAATAACTATATATTGACCTCGCATTTATAATGAGGGCTATAACAAAAATAAAACCTCGTGAATAACAAAGAAAACCGTGTCAATTGAGAAATGAGGCCCCGTCCACACTATGCCGGATAAATTTTAATCCGCAGCTTTCACACTGAAACCAAAGTAAAAGTTTTCCGTCCATACATGAAAAGGAATGAAATGTTTGGTCCACACTAGTCCACTCAGAGACAGCAAAAATGCTTCATTGCACATCTAAGCATGTGCATCAAGCTGAAATTGAGCCTGCGGTGAATTTTTAGCCTTCCCACCATGTTCCCATGACAATCATGACGTCATCTTATTTGAAAAGGTTCGGATACAAAATGTTCTCCATCCACACTAATACGGCTAGCCGGCGTTTTCAAATTGTTCCACTCTGGAGACTGTATTCGAAAAAATTTGTTTTCGGTGAAGAATTGTTCCAGATTCGCCCAGACTAGTGTGGACGGTAGGCCTAACCAAATAGATAGAAATTCTGATTCAAATTTATCTGGCATAGTGTGGACGGGGCCTAAAAAATCATTTTTCATGGGACTTAACCACACACAATAGCCACGTTTACTCATGCAAATAAAAAACCTTTCTTACATCCACATAAATTTATTCTCAATCACTTGAATGATGTCACTTGTTTTGATATCTATCGTTAAAACCAACTTCAGGCTTCCTCGTGAAAGAGGCCGATAGAGACCATCCCTATTTAAGACGTGTCTTCTCATGTACAACTGTTAAACAAAGAAATGATACTCTAGGGAATGGCTAGGGGTCTGAAACTGAGGGGGCAAAAATTTGACAATCGCTTTCCTGCATTCCAGTTTGCTGTGTTTTCAATGGTGTGGAATAAATATGTTATACAATGCTTTCAAGTGTACACCATGGAATTTCCCATGCCACACATGAGCCAAGTTTATTGTCAATGGTGTGTGATGAATGTGTGTTGAAAAAATAGAAAATGTGCGCGTGTGCTGTGTGCAGTTATAAAGCACATGGGGGTTGGCAGAACACAAGAGTATTCTGTCAATCCCCAAGTGCTTTATAGCTGCAAACAGTACTATAAGCAAGTTTTTTATTTCTTTTACAAAATACGAATTACAAAAACCGTTGTTTGGATAGGAATGACGCAACGGGAAGTGCGCGCGTGTGCTGTGTGCTCTCATAAAGCAAGCTGTCTCAACCAATCAGAACGGACATTTACAACAGTTTTTTTTATAATGATATATAATTTGTGTGGCAGACATGGAGACCGTACAAGGGCAGGGTATTCAGGACCATGTTGGGATAACGACGAGGCTGTGTGGGATTGCCTACTGACATCTTCGTCTCTACCAGCAATTAAACATGATCAACACTTTCAAACTATTGACAGGGTCTACAGGAAAGGTATTAATCAGCAAATGTTAATGCTATAATTTTTTGTTCGTTTCTTTTTCATTCATTCATTTTTATTATTCATTCGTTCGTTCATTTATTTTTCTGTAGCTCAAGGTGTTATTTGTGACAGGGGGTGCACTCTGTAGGCCGATTCACATGGTACAGTAGTAATTGAGATTGGCAGGACTTAAGCTCGGGCTGCATTGGTGAGAGGCGGCGCATTAGCAGTGCACGCCCCCGGTGCTTCCTTGGATGTACCTACTTTGTCTCAAAGTCAATCCTGCACACAAGTTTTCTAACTTGCAATTATTTGATTTTTTTGGCAGTTTACATGGAGGATCATGAGCCAATGCAGGGAGACTGTGCTCTGGGTGTCCTGACATTCAAAGGCTACAAGCAACAAGAATTGAATGGCCAAACATTAAGAAACCTGTACGTCAAATCTGGTTTCCTGAAACAGAACTACTCATACACTGATATATATGTCAGAAGTGATGGTAAGAAGATTTGATTTGAAATGAACATTTGGATCTGGTATTTAGGCCAACTCACTCAAAATTGCTGAAGCTTGAATTTTTTTAAATAATGAGATTTTTTACGGGCAGTTTTGGGCGTAGGAGTCAAAGGCTTGAATCACACACTACTTTCATATATCACAGCCAGCAGATCAAGTTTGATTTTAGGGGGTTGGCTGTCACATGAGAGAGATATAGTAACCCAGTATATAGCTTCCATAAGCAATAAATCTATATTTTAAATCATGATAATGGGAGTCAATGTCGAGTCCCCCTATCCAGAGACTAATGTTTCCTATAGGTATACAGTTGGACACACTTCACATTTACTACCACTACATTTAATGTGTGCAGACACGAAACTCTCAACTCACATGATGCTTCAATTGAATTCATGCAAAATGACCCTCCAAGTCCAGTCCACTATTAGGAATTAGACTTTTTAAAGTACTCATGATGTTTATCGTATTTGTTTGATTTCACAGATGAATCCAGAACTATGCAGGTATTAAATAAGACACCCCTTTATTTTAAAGCATATTTAACATAAAGGCTTTTTGAAGTGGAACTGATCAAATTGAAGGCCTCTATTTTAGAGTCTCTGAATGAGATAGGAAAGCCATTTTTTGTGGTCATCCACGTCAAAGCGAAGGTCTTTAAAACCATTTGCAGATATCTTTAGAGCATAAGCAGCACCTAATACTCAAATGTTTTAAGACCCTGAGTGTTAGGCAGACCAAGGACTGAACAAAACAAACAAACATAACAAGCAAACATCTTTATTTGGCACTCCTTGGATTGATATACAATAAAATTTATAAAATAATAATGTATAAATAGATGGGCGCCAGCCATTTAGAAATAGCAGAGCTAGTCAAGCTAAATGGCTGAAACAACTGAACCAATGACCTCCAGCTTAATAGTCCAGAGCCTAACCAACTCAGCGAACTGGAAGGCAGTAATTCTGCTGCCTGTCTATTAGAGATATCTTTCACAAACTTTTTCAACTACTATTTCTAATAGAAGTTCTTTTGTTATGTGCTTGCCATCAATATTTAGAGGGGGCTAGCACGTTAATCATCCCATTGAAATATAAAGAAAAACCTTTAGCCAGTGATTATTAGACCCTTAAAGATTATTCCATTAAAGTTTCGGCCGAATTAGATTTCGGAAGATTTACATGCTATCCCCCTCTAAGCACAGTCTTATATATTGTGTTCTTTAGTCTGCTCAATCTCTGATGCTGGGGATGTATCCACCATCCACTATCATGTCTGATAGGACCCATGTACTGGATATCAATACAAGAGACCAGACGTTTGATAATATTGAACCAAATGCAAGGTCAGTGACAACACCACAGGGTGCCCAGTCTAAGCTGTGTCTATATTTTCTGTTAAAGATGAATGTGTTGCTTGTGAATAGCCTACCTCCGAGATATGCTTCGCTTGTCACACACAAAGGTTTCAGTATGAGGCTATGTGCTAAAGTAAATTTATTCTTACCGCCTGTCACAAATGTCTGAGCATTTAGCACGTAGAATCATACTGAAACCTTTGTGTGTGACAAGCGAAGCATATCTCGGAAGTGGGCTATTGTGCCGATCATGAATCCCCCTCCCCCTCTGCCT